TAAACAACACCTTTATTTACAAGTGCCTCGACACCGCTAGGCATAAACAACATTATTCACAACTCGAACACGCTTCCCAAAATTTAACATCTGGATCCACGTCCCGTGAAGCGGTAACATCGGTCGATATGACCGATGGCTGAAGAGACTCTGGTAACAATTTACTTTTCACTTATTTTCGCCATTAAAATTTAAATTCAAATTTTTGTAATGATTCGTATTCAAATGAATTTTTGTTAATTATGTAGATAAAAATTTTTTTCACAGCAAGTGAAAAAGATTCCAAATGATTGCTTTACCAGTATTTCTCATAGAATAAATTGAATGTGCACAAAAAGCAGAAATGGATTAACATACGTAATACACATTTCAATGATAAATACAGAATGTGAATATAGTAGAATGAGATTATAATAAAAGCTACACACTGCGAATGAAAACATTAACTTGCGTAAAAAACGTAGACGTGGTAAGGGTATTTTACACACGCCACTTTTAATGTCGTTTAAAATACTCCTGTATTTAATAAAATAATAATAATAGAACTTAAATGGAATTTTTTACATAGACTTAACTGATATAACTGGACTGCGAAATTCGATGTACTGTCGTTATTAAATTAATTGTTTCTTGAGAAGAATTCCTGTGCAAGGTATAATACGTTAAGATAGGCTGGGTCAATTTTTCAAGAAAAATAGGGAAAAAAATAGGTATTTTAAAAAATTTGGCAAGAAGAACTTGGCTGTATTTCGAATGTTGGGTAGACGATAATGTTTGACCTCTGAAATCTGCCGTTCTAATAACTTTAAAATCTGGCATTTCACAACACGCCATTTTATTAGCAAAATTTCGTTCGAGTCGTTACTTCACAAGATTTGTCAATTTCAGTCGCTACCGAGGAAGCTTGTTCGCTTCCTTAGTAGCGACTCAAAACCGCCAAAGTTTAATAGCATTAATGCCTCTTATTCACAAGCTATAACAAGGGGACAATAGGATGTCTAAGAGTTAATATCTCAGGATGAAGTAATGATCAAGAAATCAAATTTGATACGGTAGCTTCAGGCATAAGAGGAATTGATGCTATTAAACTTTGGTGGTTAACCGAACTAATCTCTAGCCGAGTGCAGTGGGACTGATTTCTTCGTAATATTAGATGTAATAAAGTCAGAAATTTTTCCAGTTCAATGAGAGTGACTGAAAAGTAAATTTTGGAAATTTCCGTGGACACCTGGTCCTAAAACGAATTAGTTAGAAAACAAATGACCGACAATCTATTAAGTTTAAATATATTTAGATTTTTACAGCTATGACGAGAAACGTTTAAAATCTACAAGAACCCTGTCGTGTCCTTTGAGGTATACTAGTGATGCGACAGAAGAGACATTTGACATTGACCAGTATCGGCACCCTCGGGATTTGGCAGCCCGTGTGCATGTATGCACTGCAGGACGGTTTCTGATTCCATCCATTAACCATTGGTAGGGAGCTACTTGACTAAGTGGATTGTTTTAAGATTTAAAACGTAAAGAATATTTTATGTTATTTTTAGGTACGTTTCTTCACAAAACTATATTTAATTATAATTTTCTTTAAAAGTATATTCACAGAATTGAAGAATATTTTGTACCAGGTATGTACCTACGGTACATCCACCACACATTTTATTTCACCAAGTAAGTTTTTATAATTTTATTCTTATCGTGGCTAGCGATTCGGAATGCAATTGTGATATTAAGAATACATTTGGAGNATCCACCACACATTTTATTTCACCAAGTAAGTTTTTATAATTTTATTCTTATCGTGGCTAGCGATTCGGAATGCAATTGTGATATTAAGAATACATTTGAAGAAGTCTGCGGTTTTTACTGGTTAATCGAACAAAGGAATACGAATGGACCCTAGATTATCACTAACGCGCAAATTGCCCCTGGAATTCGGCTTGTTACATAAACACAGGTTTCCTATCATCAAATGTCACAGCAAGCCACTGATAAATACTATTTTGTTTTCAATTAACCCCTTAAGGACATTGAGATTTTTGATATTTTATAATCATTAATTTAATTAAACGTAAAAAATACTTAAAACTGAAAAAAACGAAAGAAATGCGTTTATTTTGAAGAAAAAGCTTCAAATTTTATTTTCCTTTGTCTCGTCTTTCTGTGAAATATAACACCGATGAGTCATTGTTTACACAGCTGGATGACCTTGAACACAGCTGGAGTCGGATTTCCCGGGACATTCTCATATACGTCTCGGGAGGACAAGGGTTTAAAGTAGGGTGAATATGTCTGACACGTATATTTTTAAATATTTTAAAAAAATTAAGATTTTAATTGCGATTTCCGAC